TCTAATATTAGGTCCCGGACGAGGGGAGCTTTGTGAACTGCAGACCTGGCATTTAGCAACAACAGCCTGAGGCCAGGGCGCTGACAACTCTCACCATTTGGTCCTGGAGTGGAACTAATAGGGCCGGAAGGAGGGATCGCTGCGATGTAGCGGACCCTCCTTCCCCGGTAATGGCCAGCCCTGAATTTCCTGTTGTACCTGCCCCTCCCTGGAATGACCGTAATGCTCCGGCCCACCCCCGCACCCATAGACCCCATTTCCCCCCCGTAGCCTCCGTGCTCTCCAGCAGGCCATTTATATCATCCATTCTAGGACGGGAGGTAGGCCTGGGCCCCCTACCACTTCTGCAATAGCACTCAGAGGAGGAGGCACCCGGCTGTACTCTCAGTCCTCATACATCCACAGCCACTCACCCATACAGTCCCCACATGAATCAATTAAAAATACAAAATACAATAATAAAAAGTGGGCTCATACATTAACATACGCACATACACACTCCTCATAAAAAAACAGTTCCGCAGATCTTAGATCTTAGATAGTGTGCAATTTGAGTCTAAAAGTCCAGAAATAGGCGGAACAGTTGAGGGCCAGCACTGGCAATGGTAGTAAGTAGGGGAAAAAACTAACTTCTCTTCTCCTATAAGCCAGGCCCAGAGGTCCAAAGGTACCAAGTAGTAGGGACGGATCAAGATGGAAAGGGTAAAAAGGGGAGGGTTTGAATGTCCTTAACAAGTGTGTAAGCCTTCTCACGGGCCGTAAACACCTCCAAGCGACCCCAGTCCGTAGCGTCATAATAAGGAGACTTAGATGGAATAAGAAGGCGCTATCCCAGTTGGCAGTCCAGGGGTCGTAGTGGGGGGTAATAAAGATGGCTATGCTGGTAATCCACGGGCCGTGGAGGATAGTAGTGGTGGCAGTAATTAGGGCTAAGAAACCAAGTCCAAAATCCCTAAATGTATAGTTGAGGACAGTCTGATGGTCAGAGTCCAGGAAGGCAGGAGACCAATGTTGATATAGAAGGCAGCGTTGGGGGAGAAGGCAGCGTTGGTAAGAAAACCAGTGCTGACGGAGGGGACTATATTTTTGGAGAGAGCAAGGTTGGTAGAAAAGGCAGCGTTGGTAAAGAAAACAGTGTTGGTAGAGGAGACAGCGCTGTTGGAAAAGGTAACATCGATGGAAAAACTGAGCCAAGTATGGAGGGGGGGTCATCTGGAAAAGGCTATGGACACGACGCACTCAGCCAGCCGCCTGATTCGCCTGTTCCTAGCAAAAGCCCTGTTCAAACTCCCCCGTTCTAAAGGATGGCAATGCTCGACCAACACAGTCACTGCAGGCTCACCAGATTGTAAAAGTTTTGTGAGAAGAGTCAGAAAACCCCCCAGCTGCTTGAGCCACCGCAAAATGCTCTCGATCACCTCCGTTGCCGCTGTAGGGCCGCCATTCCCGCCGCCAAGGACGCCAAGCCGCGCTGGAGTTTCTGGAGTCCTAGGCTGGAGGGAGGCATCAGCCCCCCTCAATGCTTGGTCCGCACACGTCCCCTGAATCTCCGTCATCCCAGGGGACCTCAAGACGGGTGATAAAAAGCCGGTTTCAGGGGCTCCCAGCGTTCTTTCGCCGGATCGTCTTAAGACGGAAAAGCCCTGGTGGCAGTAGAATGCCACCTCTGCGTGGAATCTTTAGAAAGCAAGATCAAAGCTTGAAATAAGGTGGAATTTCCTGAATATGAGCTCTATTAAATAGTGGAACAGTCTGCCTCCTGAAGTTATGTGTGTTCCATCTCTGAAAGTTTTCAAGTAAACATTGGACAATCATTTGTCTGGGATGTTCTAAGATTTCTGCATTACAAAACAGCATGATCTCTAAGATCCCTTATTTATGGTTTTATTATTGACCTTTACCACATTATACATATGGCATGGTTATATGTATTGATAGATTTCATAAATCTCTTCATTTAAAAAAAAATGTGCAGACCTTGATGCTTTCTGAGCTTGCTTGCTTGCTTGCAGATATTTCATTAACTGCATTGGGTGATAAAACATCTTCAAGCAAACAACCAAGCTCAGAGAATACTAAGGTCTATACAATTCAACCTTAAGCTACAGATATTATCTTCTATTCAATTTGAAAAACTGTGCGATAGTTTATTGTCTTGGAAATATTTGATGTTGGCAGGTGTTTTGAAACTCAATTTCGTTTAGAAGTGGAAAGAGTTAAAAAATGATTCTTTCTAAAGTATTGCCTTATTTTGAAAGGGCAATATTTATACAAATTCTTGCAAGTTGGAAACCACTCTATTATTGGTCTTTAGAAAATTATAAAGTTGGCATTTGAACTAATTCTTGTTTGTCTATGTTAATATTAACCACGTTTCATAAATATATTTTTGAATTAAAACTGGCAAAATCAAGTAGAATAAATAGAACTATCAAAAAAGTTTTTAGCATATGGTTATGAGAAATGGTTTTCCATATTGTAATCCTGTTTTACATTTCAGATGAGTGGTGTAAGTTACCTGGAAAACCCAAATGAAGGAGATGGAAGCATTTTCTCACCCAGCAAAAACGCAACAGTTCTACTAACTCCAGCATTTCCTGTATCTCCAGAGACTCCCTATGGTATGTGGACATGACTATTTTGGAATGATGGCTTCCTTATTTCTTTAATGAAAATTTATAACTCACAATTATCACTTAAGGTGATAGTGAGATAGGCAGTGCCTAAATTTGATTTAAAAATTAATAATAGAAGGCTCGTTTTATTATTTGCATGATATAGTGCAAATATAGCATTGCATACCAGGAACTGAATCCAACTGATGATGAGAGCTATGATCCATTAGAGAATTGCAGAATTGATTTTGCTAAGAGAGTCAATTGAACTTTTCAATAAGTTAATTTGAAGTCTGTATAAGTACATTTACAAATTTAATTTTTATTATTAGTATCTTCTGAAGGTATTACAAATTTTACATGGGTAGGGTGAATTCTCATCTTGATTGACTAGGTCTTTCATAAAAAGTTGCTGCAGTTTCTTAAATTGTTTGATTTGCATTGAAATAGTAGGTAAAACAAGGCTAATAAGTTGTAGCCTGTAAAAGGCAAGGCAATGTTGCACAGTGGGCAGGATTATAACAGAAAGTGCCCCAATGACTCAGGATTTTCTGGATAAACTATTTTTAAATCTAAACTACAGTTGTGGGTTTTTTTTTCCTTGCTTCAAAATGTCTTCAAACAATGCCATCAATTTTCACAAATTTTGTTAAAAGAACTCTGAATGTACAAAAACAAACTGGATGTGTATGTGTGTGGGGGAAGATATTTACAGCCATGAGGCCCTTAGGTCATATTTGCTCTAACTGTCTGACACTTTTCAAGTTTATTGCAGTCCAATGAAGGTTTTGAAGACTATAAGAATCCTTGTTTAAATCAGAAGTTGTTATTTTGTCATTAACTCGGCTAAAAATATTTTCTGTATATACTTTGCTCTACAATTTGTGTCCGTGTGTGTGCATGCATGTGTGTCTTTTTTGAGTCTCAACATCATACGTTAAAATACAAACCAACATAAAAAAGAGAAAGTGAGAAAAATAAGGAATTTATGCTGCAATCCATAAATTCTTGTCATTCAAATATTTTGAATGACTATGTTGGTATTGAGAACTGAAACCCAAAAAGTTGGAGTAAAGTGCTCTTCCTTATCCCAATCTTTTGGTTGATATTGTCAAGTTGGCCTTCAATGAAAGGCAATTCAAACTGTTCCTTGGTTTAACAGGCAGGCAGTAAGAAGAATTTCCAGGACTACATAATTGGGCATGTTGGTAATTATTTGATTGTTTCTGTTGATATTTTTCCTTTTTCCTTATTAACAGAACATGTTTGTCATTGCTCTTCTGTACATGTTCATTCAAGCCAGAAGCTTTATATTTCACATACCAAGATAAGCTATCGCATAATAAAGAGGAATACACAAAATAATGCAATCAGAATATTTCTTTAAGACATATTTCACCAACTCTTATATATTTTTAATCAGCACACAATCCTAATTTTAGATTAATCTGTTATTGTTCAGTATGAAAATGTAAAAATTAAAAATTTCCACCTATATTTCCACCTTTTATACAGCTCTTATTTGATATGCTTACTAGACAACCCATGCCCTATTGTGTCATTGTTTTGGGAATATTTTTTATCTAAACAGAGAACCTGAATGACCACAGGTGGACAAAAAGGAGTGGGCAGGAGTGACTTCCAACTTCCTTCTGAGTTCCTGACTGAATTTGCTTGAAGGAAACTGGCAGGAAACATCAGAAATCTTCCTCCTTCTTTCCCTCCTTCCCTGACTCTCTCCCACCCTTCCTTCCTTTCTTATTTTCATTTATTTATTTACATATTTATTTATTCAATTTATTTTCCATCCATCTTGTTTTGAAGTGATTTTGGGTGGCATTAAAAGCATTAAAACCATAATGTAAATATTTCTAAAACAATAAAAAATGAGTTATTATCAAAGGTAAAATTATAGTTAAAAATGAGATGGGGAGGTGGGATTAAATCTTAATTCATCAACCAACTCCAGTATGATACTGCACCATTGGGGCCACAAGCCATCTGACAGAGCCTGATAGCCTTATGGGATGTGAGAGAGATGGAACCAATCTCATCTAAGGGGTAAGATATTTCAAAGGGCAAGAGCCACAACACAAAAGGCCCTTGTCCTGCATACTGACAGCTGAAATTCCTTGACTGACAGGATCTGTGGCATACCTCCTCTGCTGGCACAGATGGGGCAGGCCAGTCCCATTGGGGTATGATGCTACCTTAAATAACTTCTATGCCATGCCATGCAGAGATTTAACAATAATAACCTTAAATGGCACTCAGAAGCAAAACAGCACAGTCAGTTCACAGAGCGTGAACCTCCCATATTTCCACATTCTGCACCAATTGAAACTTCCAAATGATCCTCACCTTTCTTGCTTCTTCCTTCTTCCCCGTGTTCAACTCTTTATTTCATCATCCCACTTTTCTCTGTCTCCCTTCATTTTTTCCTTTCTCTCTTTCACTCCCTGAAATTCTTCATTATCTCTCCCCCTTCCCTACTCTCTGTTCTTCCCTCCCTGTCATTCTGTCATTACCTTTCCTCTCTAGAATTTCTTTTGGCTTCCCCATTTACTTTGCTCATAGGAAACTTTCAATGAGAAAGTCACTGGGGAAACCAGCAGGAAGTTCAGATTGAAGGCTAGCAGGCAAGTAAATGGTTACTGCCAGGAATGGAGGGAACAAGGGGGTAGATGAGAATACATGAAAGATGCTGTGCAGGTTGGGAAGTGTGTGTTCATGCCCAAGATATCCTGTATTAGTTGGGGAGCATCCACAAGAGAGCAACACTGGTCATGGGATTATAGGAATGTGCAAAAAGTGCCACCTGTGGGATTGGAACAGGTGGCGAAATGCATATCAATACACAAGTGGTGCCATGTGGCTCAGAAAGGACACACAGAGTGATACGCATGAGGAGTTATACAAGAAGGGCTGTTCAGTTGGATACCAAAGGCCCAACCATTTACCAAGACAGGTAAATGGTTGTTGGGGTGGGGGAGCAAAGGGTTGCAAGAGTGGCTGGGAAACTTCCATGGAATGTTAAAAATGAAGATCATGTGTTTGCAAAAGCAATTGACAGCAGTAGCAGCTGAGCATGAAGTAGTCAGACCTTCCCCAAATTTAATTCCTTTGGGAGTCATGGTTCCCAGATTTCAGACACATTCTGTAAATTAATCTATTTGAGATACTTTGATTCAAACATTGTTTCCTTTTGATGCACTGTAAAAGATTATAAAAATGAGAGTTTTAGTTATATATAGATAGATTAAAATGTTTACATCCTGTTTTATAATGACAATATGAAGCACTCAGGAACCCTGCTATTCTACATGTATATTCCATCTTTTTAGTGTCATATGACAAATGTTCATTGTTAGAGGGTAGAATTTGCTACCAAGTTGCTGTCCTTTCTCCCCTTCTTCCTGTTCATAAATGTTTGAATGAATAAAGAAAATGAGTCCCAACATGGTGAGCTAATACCATATGGAATGCATGCTGCAGGAAATTCGTAATTCATTTCTCAGTCACAAACATACTGGATGGATTTATGCCAGTTTTGTTTTTATGACCAATAGAGAAATAATGCTACTGCTTAAGAATGATTTAAATGCTTGGGTCTGTTCTCGGCACTTGTTGTACTACATAGTTCTGAATGTGCTACTCAAAGTTCCAACTATCCCAGAATTTCCACAGTCACATGATTGCAGTATGCATGCTTGCTTGCATTTAAGATGGTTGCAGTATCTCACAGTCACAGGGCCACCATTTGCTTGCTGGTTTTCCACAAACAGAGTCAACAGGAAATTTGACAGGCAAGATAACAAGTTATTCCACTTAGTTGCTTGCACTTCTTCTGCCCAGCAGCTGTCACCCCTAATCTAGTCCTGCATATTTCAAGGCTTCATTGACCACTCACGTGCCTTCTCCCACTCAGCAACCACTACCCCCGGCTCCACCTCACGTGGCATTACCTGGCTTGCTTGCACGTGAGTGGTCAATGAAGCCTTGAAATATGCAGGGTTAGATTAGGAATGCTTGGAGTGCCATTGCTAAGCAATGTGGTCACATAATATTGCACTTTATAGCTGCATCATCCAGTCCCAATTACCATGAACTGAGGATAATTTGTACTTAAGTCAGAGATGTACAACTCCTTTTAGGATAAGAACTATATTTCTTTAAATAAAGGCAGGGCAAAGAACTATTTTTGAGGGCCACTTTTGAGTGGTGTTAGGAATAAATTTTTGAATCGTTTCCCTAAGGAATGAATTTTGTTTTGTGGAGGATAGAGAATTTTATTCTTTCTGAGGGGGACTATATTCCAACTGAGACAATTTAAAATGTGATATCTAAAATAACTGAGTAATTCAGTTGATATATCCTACCCAGAAATTGAGATTAGTAGGTGGAATTCCATCAAATATAAGCTAAATAAATAAATATCACAGATCTAACAAAATCCTATGCAGATTTATTGAGAGATAAATAAGTAGATGGGAGGGGGCATAATAGTTCAGCAGTTAAAGATATGGAACTTGTCATTTTGAAAGCTGACAGCACAAGTTTGAGATCTGAGCACTGTACAATGTGGGAAGGTCGCATTACTATCCTGCAAATCTAGCAGTTCTAAAGAATGTAAATGCAAGCAGATAAATAGGTACCATTTTGGTGGGAAGATAACAGTGTTCCATGTGCTTCGGCCTATAGTCATACTGGCTACATGACTATGGAATCGCTGACTCGAGTAAGAAATGGAGATGAACACCATTCCTTAGAGTTGGAAATGACCAGATAGGAGAAACTTTTCCTTTAAACAAGTAGATAATCTGAAAAACACTTTTATCTGAACCTCCATTAAAAATTTAGCTTATGGAACTATTGTAGATTCCACTTCTATTTATGTATGAGTATTGAGAAGCTAACTCTCTAGAGCATGGAATTTAGAGAAATTATTATTTTAGCTATGAGGGTAGCTTCTTTTATAGTGCAACTCCACATTTGAGTTCTTGTGT